AGCGCGCGAGAGGAGGCGTGCTCTGGGATCAGCCGCCCTCGGCTGTGCTCAGCTGTGTCTTGCAGCCCCTCACACCCACGCGGTGCTCCGAATGCACGGCACACTCCCGCCCCTCCGCCCCGAGGTTGGCGTCTGCCACTCCGCAGGCCGAGGCGGCGCTCTTTCAGTGGGAGGGCTCGCACAGCTCGCCAGAAGTGCGCGCCGCCGCGGCCGCCGTCGCGGAGCGATTCGCGGGCGCGCTTTCGGGCCGCGTGGAGGTGGTGGCGGAGGCGTCCGAGCCGGCCGAGTTTTGGCAGTCCTCGCTGGTCGGGGTTGGGCGGACATGTGCCTGTGACACGTCCGCGACACGTCCGCGAACGCACGTCTGCAGGCAGTCGCTGCTCGGCTTGGGCCGCGCGTCGCCGCTGCCCGAGGAGAAGGAGAGGGAGATCGCGCGGTCCGCCGAGATGCGGTCGCTGCAGGCGGGCCGCCGGCTTGCGGCGGGGCGGCCCGTCCATGACACGTCCATGCACATGTCCGAGACGCGCCCTACAGGTCGCTCGAGCAGAGGCGGAGGCGGAGAGATGACCACGACACGTCCACGACATGTGCGAGACGCACCGTCCCGCAGGCGGGCCACCGGCCGTCGATGTGGCGGGTGTGGGCGCGCGGCCGCGGCTTCGAGCGCGTGCAGTGGCTGCACGGCCCGTGCGGCCGGCCGGAGCAGTGGATGCTGCAGCCCGAGGCGGTCTGCCTGGTCGACGGCGGCGCCTGCACCTTCGTGTGGGTCGGCGAGACCTCTCCTGGACCTTTCCCGGACCTTTCCTGGACCTTTCCTAGGCGCCTGCACATTCGTGTGGGTCGGGCGCGACGCGTCGGAGGAGGACGAGGCGCTCGCCACCGCGCTCGCCTCCCGGTGCGGCTCGTCCCCTACCCCCCACGGCACCCGAACCCACCCTCCCCTCCCCCACGGTACCCGAACCCACCCTCCCCCTGCTCCACGGCACCCGAACCCACCCTCCCCCCTACCCCACGGTACCCGAACCCACCCTCCCCCTGCTCCACGGCACCCGAACCCACCCTCCCCCTCCCCCACGGTACCCGAACCCACCCAGGTACGGCCAGACCTTCGAGCCGGCGACGCGGCGGAGCGCGGTCCCCGCGGGCGCGGACGAAGTAGTGAGCTGTGGTGAGGGAGGAGCCGTTAGGCGATGCAGCTGAGCCACGCTCTCGCCGGCTCGGAGCCGGACGAGCTGCGGCGGTGGGTTCCCCTAGAAGCGGAAGACGTGTTCGTGTACCCCATATCTCCCCGTACCTCCCCGTATCTCCCCATGTCTCGGGTCCTAGAAGCGGAATACATGTTCGTGTACCCCCACCAGCACTCGAGAGGACGCGTACTCCGCGGCATTCGACCGCATTCCACTGTCTTCGGCTGTGTTCGCACCCCTCGTCTCCACGCGGTGCTCTGAGCAGACTGCACAATACCTCACGCCTCCACGTGCGCGTGCTCTCTACGCAAGGCTCTTTCACGGCTGGACGGTGGCACGCGGGCGCGACGACACGCGGCAGCTCGACGACCTCGAGGATGCGCGCGACGCGCTGCAGCAGGGCTCCGGCCTGATTGGGCGCGCCCCGCGCCGCACGAGGGCGCGTGCCAGGCCGCGGCGTCGAGAGAGAATGACTTCGCTTGCTCGCTCCGCGGTCCTCAGGCGCGTGCTGCGCGAGGGCGCGTGGCCCGCGTCGCGCGGCGGCGCCGCCTCGCAGCGGGGCGCCGCCTCGCAGCGGGGCGCGGCCGACGCGGAGCTGCCTGCCGGAGGGCTCGTCCTGTACACTACGACGTGCGGCGCGCTCTACGCGGCGTGCGCCCGCTCCCGACGCGCACGGCTGCTGCTGCAGGCGCGGGTCGGCGCCGAGCGGGGTTCGGAAGCCCGCCGCCGCTGATCAGTGAGCCCGACACTCTCGCCGTCCCCACTCTCAAGGCGATCGGCGTCGCCTTTTCCGAGGTGGACCTCGCCCGCGAAGGGCCGCGCGGCGTGCACGCGCTGCGGCGGCTGCTGGCGGCGGCGGGCGCGAGCGGGTCGCTGAGCAAGCTGCTGCCGGTGGCGGTGCTCGACGGGCGGGTGCTGGGCGAGGCCGGCGAGCCGGGTGGCGGCGCGCGCAACCTGATCGAGCTGCACGACGGCGGCGAGCTGCGGCCGCTGCTGCGCGACTTGCCCTCGCCGAGGCCCGAGCCACGCACCCTGACCCGAACCATACCCCGAACCCCAACCCCCCCGGCCCTAGCCCTAACCCTGCCACCCCAACCCGAACCACAGCCCGAACCACAACCCCCGGCGCCTAGCCCCAGCCCCTAACCTAACCCGAACCACCGCCCGAACCTACCCCGGCGCCTAGCCCCAACCCCTAACCTAACCCTAGGCCCGAGCCGCAGCTGTCCGGCGCGGTGAGCGTGCGGGACCTGCCGCCGGACGAGTGCTTGCACGCGGGCTGGCTGCGCAAGGAGGGCGACCTCTTCACGCCCAGGAAGCGGCGGTGGGCCGTCGTGCAGCCGCGGCAGCTGCTGCTCTTCAAGTCGCCGCTGCCCGTCGAGAAGGCGGAGCTCATCGTCGAGCTCGGCCGCTCGTCGACCCGGACGCTGCCCGGCTACCACTTCGAGGTGACCACGCCGCAGCACACCCACCTCTTCCGCGTCGACTGGCCGAGCACGGCGCCGGAGGAGGGCGGCGCGGGCGGCCAGGAGGCGGCGGGAGGCGGCGGCGGCGGCGCGGCAGACGAGCCAGCGAGGAGCGAGGGCGTGGATTTGGCGAAGTGGGTGGCTGCGCTGCAGCGGGCGAGGTCCTATAGCTAGCTAAGTAGAATGTTTTGTCCATTGATTTCAAAATAGACGCGGGGGAACACCACTCTGCACTCTCACCAGTTCTTCAGTTGCGGGTTACATACATACGGGGTGTGGACCGTGAGTTGACCAGGGGTTGTGCGCCGGGCCCTCGCTGCTCGGCTCCAGCCGGTAGTCTAGGGTACCGAGGCTCCACTCCCCCCCTTGGCGCCTTGTGTTTTTCGTGCCAAACCAGCCGATCTCGGCCCGTCGTCCTCCGCTCGCGCCGGCCGCCCATGCGCTCGCGGGGCTCCCCGACGGCGCGGGCCTCTTGCCGATGGACCCAGCCGAGGTGCCCAACCAGTCGGAGTGGCGCTGACGCGCCGCGCGCGACCACCAGCCAGCTTTTCAGCGAGGGCGAGAACGGTGCGTCGAAAGAGTAGACACTCCAAACAGTTGCCGAGTTTTTTCCCTCTTTTTGAGCGCCGCTGCTGCACACCCAGCCCACCAGTGATACTAGACGCACCAGATTCACCCCGTCGCGAGCTTGACCGCGACCCCGATGACCGCCCACAGGTGGCTGATCGCGGCTCCACTCATCGCTGCTTTCGCGCGCCTGCTCCACAGAGGGCTCCTGCGGCTCTCCCTCGTCGCGTGACCGCCGCCGACATCATGTGCTCGGTCGTCCCCGCCGGCGCGGAGCTGCGCCACGTCGAATTCTTCGGTGGCTCGACCGCCGGCGCGCCCAACCTCGCCTCCTGCGCGCCTCACACCCAGTATTCACCTCGCGCGCGGCCGACAAAGTGAGCGTACGACCACCTCCCTCTCAGTCACCCCCGCAACGATGCACAGGTCGTTCGTTCTCGCCGAGAAGACGCTCGGAGCGCCCAACTTTGCCTCGTGCGGCCATCAAACAGGCGCGTTGCCTCCCATCTCCGCACTTCCCATCTACCCCCACACTACCACTGCCGGGGACGCGCAGATGCGACTCCCGGGCCCGCTCACCTCACCCGCCCCGCCGACCAGGCACGGCCCGACGAGAACCCGCCGGGAAGGAGCTGGCCGAGCCATCGCCGGCCTCCCTGCCGGCTCACGGCCGCTCAAAAGGTCGCGGACCCGCCTGTCGCTTGCCGCCCCTCTCCGCCAGCCCTTGCCGGCGCTTTTGCACGAACCTAGGGCTCAGTTCCGTCTTCCTCCCCCTCGCTCCTGTAGGCAGGCCGCCCCGCGCTGGCGGGAAGAGGCGCGCCGAGCCATCGGTGACGTCCTGGCGAGCTCATGTCCCCCCAAAAGGTCGCACCCGCCCGTGGCTCCGCCGTCGGCTCCGCCGCGAGCGGCGACGGTGAGGCCGCCGGGGCTCGCCTATACCGGCTAGTGTGGAGCTCTCAGTGTGATTGCGTGTTGTACTAGTGATGCTGCACTAGGCGGCCCGTTTTTAGCAAAAACCAGATACCACATCGCGTGTGGTCGTCGAAAAACCGCATCTTCGCCCGTCTGGGACCTCTTCGTACGGCTCCAAAAACCGCTCCTTAACGACGACTACGCGGCCCTGCGGTCGATCTGCGCCTTCTCAGCGGTCGAGGGGATGTGGGCGGTACGTGCGGACCGCGTGGCGCTGCGATGGCTTGACGAGTGCGACTCCCAGCGTCGACTTTTCGACCCCACGGAGCCTCTGCTGCTCCGGGGGGGGGGGGGTCTGCAGACCACCCGGCCGAACTTCAGAGTGGCGGTGCTCCTCAAATACCGCTCAAACGCCCCCGATGTTGTGGAGGGGACATATGCTGATGATCCCGGCCCGATTGGGTCGCTCAGAAAGCTTCTGGGCGGTCGCTAAGGTTCGCTCCCCGCACACGGGCCCGGAGCCTGGGTACCCTAGAGTAGACAAGTCTTGTCATCAACAGAGTAGATGGATCTGACCTCGGGGCCGATGTGACCAAGCGCTGGTAGCGTGGTTTTACCTCACACCCATGGTCTCACAGTGTGCCGGCAGTCGCCGAGCAGTGTCGCTCACACAAGCCGCAGCACAAGTGACTGAGGGCCAGTGAGGGCGAGCCCATCGCTGTCACAGCTAAAAGAAATATGCTACTCGCAGAATGGCCATTTTTTTCTCAAAGAAAGAAGTGAAAAAGAATAACAAGGTGTCTCTCTCAAAAGGAATTTAATAACAATCGCCGCGCCGCACGTTTTGCGCACGACATCGCGCAACCGATCAGACCTGCTGCTGCACCGACGACGCCTCGCCTCCAGAGACGTCGCGCGCCTCCGCAGAGCTGCGGCTGCTCATCTTGGCGAACACCCGGCTGAGTCCGCCAAGGCTGCGCTTCGCGAGACTGGTGCTGCCCTCAACGACGCTGCCTGAAGCGAGGAGGCCCGCCCGCGACCGAGCGGGGGTCGCGCCTAGGCTCTTTGCCAGAAGGACGAGCGACACCTGCGGGCAGGGACCCGCCCCTCGTCACGAAACGCTCGATGCGGGGGAGAGCTCGCTGTGTGTGAGAGAGGGGCGCGCGCGCGCGCGCGCCTTGCGGTGGTGGCCGGGGAAGCAAGATTTTGCCAGGTCCTTGTAGAGTCCGCCGGCGATGAGCTCCTGCGGCGTTGGGGGGGGAGAGGGTTGGGGAGGAGGGGTGGCGGGACAGGCGCCACGTTGAGACATTCGCTCCTGCGGCGTGACTTCGAAAAACCTCGAGAACTGGCAGCCGCCGAGCGCGGGGTCGTTCTCGTGCGCCATGACGATCTTCAGCCTGTCCTGGCGCGCCTGCTTGACCTGCTCGGCCAGCCGCTCGTCGCTGACGAAGCTGTCCTCGTTGAGGTAGAGCAGCAAGTGCGTCGCGCTGGCCGGCCGATCATCGCTGGTGCAGATCGTGAGACCGGCGGTCTCACGATCTGGGGCAAAGGCGGCGGCGATCTCATCGGCCAGCGCCAGCGACCCCGCGTTGGCAGGCGAGGCCCAGAGCGTGCACGGTTTGGAAAAGGCGAGCGACTGGCTCTCGAGCTCACCCGACACGCAGAGCGGAAGGGAGGTCCTGTCCAGAAAGTTGGGCGAGCAGAGGAGCACCGCCTAGGTTGGTTCGAGTGGGGTTGGCCGGGAGGTAGAGTGAGAGAACGGAGCTGGTTGTGGCCGGCGGCGCCTCGGCGATGATCTTGAGGGAGATGAGCTGAAACTCACCGATGCGATACCAAATCGTGAGCGGCCAGTCGTTGTCAAAAATGGCCGGCTGCAGGTCCTCGGGGCACTCGTCGCGCAGCGCCTGGAGCGTCCCGCCGCCCTTTTCAGGGTCCGCTTCTTGGACGAGGACGAGCGGCTTGTCCTTCTCGAGCGACGAGCGGACCTCTCGGAGGCAGTTCTGTGGCGCGGGCGAGGCGGCAGTTCTTGGGGCCAGGGTGCGGTAGAGGCGGGGTGGGAGGAAGAGGCGAGCCTTGGAGCGGAAGTAGCCCTGCGAGAGGAAGAAGAGGATGACCTGCGAGCTCTGGATGTACTCCTCCAGCGCCCCGATGTCTTTTAGATCATCTACCTATGAGCACACCGCGGTGCGGTCAGGGGGGCTCTTTGTGTAGCTTAAACAGCGCTGATGAGCATGTGCGCGCGTCGAGAAAGACTTTGATGTCCGGCAGCAGCTGCTCGAGCTCACCCTTAATGACCTTGACGGCGTCTTGACCGGTCGACCTATTCGTTTGGGTGAGGGGCGGGGATCACGCCGGCTGTTTTCGCTCCCTCTTCTCCCTCCATGACTCACCAGATGTGGCTGTTGAAGAGGTGCCACGTGAGGCCCATCACGATGCTCAGCTCGGGGGGCTGCTTGGTCGAGACGAGGCGGATCGTGGGGATCTTGGCGACGCGACGGGCGGCGGCGATGGCGCCGACGAGGAAGAAGGCGAGCACGACTGCAACGAGGATGATCATCGAGTCGACAATCACATTGAGGCTGCGGAAGCCGAGGACATCGGCGGGGTCGGCTCCCTGGTACCGCTCCTGGATGCCGAGGAAGGTGGTGCTCCAGTTGGTGCCGAGGAAGAGCAGGAGGAGCACGAGGCTCGTGGCGACGGCCAGCACGTTGTCCTCGACCCGCTTGTACGGCCGCACGACGGCGAGCGCGACGGCGTAGCATGAGCAGATGAGCGTCGCCACCACGAGGCGAACAAAGGCTCGCTCCTCCGGGATCAGCAGCACGAAGCCAGTCAGCACGAGCTTGCGCGCCAGCTCGACCGCCTCCCACCAGTACCAGGTCTTCTCGTACTCCCGGTGGAGGAAGGCGGTGGCCCGCGTCAGAGCATTCGGCGTCTTGGCCTGCAGCGGCTTGTAGCAAGCGGCGAGGAGCGACGTGAAGAGGACCAGCGAGCCGGCGGGCCAGAGGACGATGAAGCCGGTGGCGAGGGTGGTGATGGGTCCGTGATCGTCGGAGCCGCACTCGACGCTCGCGTCCTGCCGCATGTAGGAGACCTGCTCTAGCTCCTCGCCGGGCGGAGAGGTGGTGTAGGCCTATCAGCAGAAACTTACGAGGACTGAGGGGTGTGGTGTTGTGAGCAACGGCAGTCATCAGCTGTGAGAGGGCGCCTGGCACGACCAGGAGCGGAAGATGGAGGCGCTGATGGAGGGCACGAAGCAGAAGACGAGCACGAGGCCGGCCGGCGTGAGGTCGAGGAGGCCGAGGGCCGCCTCCGCGTACCACGGCCTCTCGCGCGGCGCCGGGGCGGCGCGCCAGCGGTAGAGCCGCAGACTTATCCCCGCGATCATTAGCAGGGCGATGAGGGCGACGGGCGAGAGGGCGATGGCGAGGAGTCGCATACCGTAGCCGAGGCACTGCTCCGGCAGGAAAAAGCCAGACCAGTCGACGGAAATCACGTTGGCCAAGTTGTCCGTCCAGCCCGTGTACTTGTCCGGCAGCCGCGCGGAGTAGGTGGAGGAGAGGACGGTGCTGATCTGATAGAAGCCAAACAGGATCTTGACCTTGGCCGTCATTCCGACCCCGACGTAGTACTTGACGGAGCGGTCTGCAAAGCGGAGGATCGGGCCGATGTACGGCTCCTTCCGCCACGGCATGCTATAGGCCCACGCCGCGAGGCCGCAAGCGACGCAGAGGCCGAGGACGAGGCCGGCGATGCGGCCCGCCGCCGCGCCGCGCGGAGCGCATACTTCGCAGGTGTCGCCGTCGACGAGGTGGTGCTTCTCCGCGGCGCAGAGCTGGCACTCGGGTCCTTTGAAGTCCGACGCGCAGTACTCTGAGCCCGCCTCCACCATCCTCCGGCCTCTCGCCACCGGCTCGCTGCCGGCGCATCGCTTCTTGCCGGCATTGGCATTGCCACCAAAGAGGCGGCACTCTGTCAGCACCGCGGAGGAGGGGCTGGCGCGCCAGAAGCCGCGCAGGAGGACGAGGGAAGAAAGGGTGGTGTTGTCCGGGCAGGCAGCGTCCGGCGGGCACGGCTTGCAGTACTCGGTTGGGGAGGTGAAGATGTCGTCGGGGTCGGCCGAGGTGTCCCGCAGGTAGAAGTCGGCCATGCAGATAGAGCAGATGGTGCTGCCGCTGACCGAGCTGAGGGGATGCGGACATAGATTGCAGAGGCTTTGGCCAGCGTTGGCGGCGTATTTGCCAGCCACGCACTCGTCGCACGCGACGCTGCCTTGATTCGACGAAGTGCCGGGATCGCAAGACTCGCACTTGGACTGCCCCTCTTTCGCGGCGAAAGTGCCAGGCGAGCACGGCGTCGGCTCGATGCTGCCCGTGGAGCAGGCGCTGCCGGCGGGGCAGGCCGTGCACTCACCCGCGGCGGTGAGGTTTGTTGCGTTCGAGTAGCTGCCAGCCTCGCACGGCAGCGGCGCCGACGCGCCCAGCTCGCAGTAGCTGCCTTTCTTGCACACGAGACAGCCCGTAGCGCCCGTGTCGTGCTGGTAGGTCCCTCCGCCGCAGCTGGCGCACTCCGAGAGGCCCGCCGTGGCCGCGACGGTGCCTGGCCGACACGGCGCGCACGTCTCTCTGCTTTCCGCGCCACGCGTTGCGCTAGCAGTCCCGGCAGGGCAGAGCTCACATGCGGCGCTCGAGCTGGAACCGTTGGTCGGGTTGAAGCTGCCGGCGGGACACGGCTCCCAGACCATGCGTGTGGCGGCGCCCGCCTCCTCGCAGTAGCCTCCGCGCGGGCAAGGGTCGCAGGCGGCGAGGCCGACGTCGGGAGAGAAGCTTCCCGCTGCGCAAGGAAGGCACTCCTCCTCTCCCTCGAGGGGCTGATGCTGGCCTGGAGCGCACGGGATGCAGCTCTCGTTGCTCGCCGCGCCGAGGGCGGGCATGCGAGTGCCGACCGGGCAGGGCTCGGGGTCGGCGGTCCCCGCCTCGCAAAAGTGGCCTCTGGTGCACTGGCCGCTGCAGGAGGAGTTGAAAAGGCCGCTCGTGTTCCCAAAGTAGCCAGCGGGGCAAAGGTTGCACTGGGGGGCGCTGAAGTCGCCGAAAAAGGCGCCCTTGGTCGGCATCCAGCGGCCCAAGCGGCAATCCCAGTCTATCTCCGAGTAGATGTCAGTCTGTATCGTTATACCGTCGTTGCCGGCGAAGGAGGCGTTGCTGATGGCGGTTTGCTCGATGTATGTCAGGTCCAGCACCGAGCCTGACCCTGTGGCGCCTGCTCTGTTGTTGATGAAGTCGACACCCGCGATGAAGAGGGACTCGCTGTTAGACGCGAAGACGACGCCGCCCTCCTGCAGTTGCGAGGAGAGAGCGGGGTGACGCAGCCGTGGCCCTCTCCATCTCCCGCCCCGCTGCCGTGTGGCGCTGCAGGGGTGCGGCTAGCTCTGCGAGGCGCACATAAGCCGAGCAGCCCGTCACGGTCGAGCCGATGATCGAGACCGCACCGCTGGCAGACGCGTAGACGACGCCGCCGTTCTGCGGTTGCGAGGAGAGAGCGGGGTGAGGCAGCCGTGGCCCTCTCTGTCTCTCGCCCCGCTGCCGTGCGGCGCTGCTGGAGGGAGGCTAGCTCTACGCGGCGCACATAAGAAGCAGAGCAGCTCGACATGTTCGAGCCGATTAACGAGACCGCACCGCTGACAATCGCGTAGACGACGCCGCCCTCCTGCAGTTGCGAGGAGAGAGCGGGGTGAGGCAGCCGTGGCCCTCTGCATCTCTCGCCCCGCTGCCGTGCGGCGCTGCTGGAGGGAGGCTAGCTCTACGCGGCGCACATAGCCAGCAGAGCAGCTCGTCACGTTCGAGCTGCTTATCGAGACCGCACCGCTGTTCTGAAGCGCGTAGACGACGCCGCCGAGCTGCAGTTGCGAGGAGAGAGCGGGGTGAGGCAGCCGTGGGCCTCTCTATCTCTCGCCCCGCTGTCGTGCGGCGCTGCTGGAGTGCGGCTAGCTCTACGCGGCGCACATAAGAAGCAGAGCAGCCCGTCACGGCCGAGCCGCTTATCGAGACCGCACCGCTGGCAGACGCGTAGACGACGCCGCCGTACTGCGGTTGCGAGGAGAGAGCGGGGTGAGGCAGCCATGGCCCTCTTATCTCTCTCGCCCCGCTGTCGTGCGGCGCTGCAGGCGGCTAGCTCTACGCGGCGCACAAAAGAAGCAGAGCAGCCCGACACATCCGAGTCGATGATCGAGACCGCACCGCTGTTATCCACCCTGACGACGCCGCCCTCCTGCGGTTGCGAGGAGAGAGCGGGGTGAGGCAGCCGTGGCCCTCTCCATCTCCCGCCTCGCTGCCGTGCGGCGCTGCTGGAGGGAGGCTAGCTCTACGCGGCGCACCCAGCCAGCAGAGCAGCCCGACACGGTCGAGCCGCTTATCGAGACCGCACCGCTGTCCCGCGCGTAGACGACGCCGCCGTACTGTGCGGTTGCGAGGAGAGAGCGGGGTGAGAGGCAGCCGTGGCCCTCTCCATCTCCCGCCCCGCTGCCGGGCGGCGTTGCTGGAGTGCGGCTAGCTCTACGCGGCGCACCTGGCCAGCCGAGCAGCCCGACACATCCGAGTCGATGATCTCGACGTCGCCTGCGTTCCTCGCCTCCACAACTCCGCCGTTTCCGTCGTCCGCGTACACAACGCCGCCGCTGCCTGCACTCCTCCCGTTGACGAGGGCCAGCCCCCGCAGGGTGAGGCTGCAGCCGCCCTCGAGGTAAAAGAGCCTGGTATGTTCCTGGCCGTCGAGCTTCGCGCCCTCGCCGCTGCTCGCGACGGTCACGATGATGTTGGAGCCGCAGCTGATCTGGCTGCCCAGCTTGAAGTCCGCCCTGGGCGGCAAGTAGATTGAGACGTTGGCTTGCGAAGTAGCAGCCTCCGTGACCAGGGAGCGGAGCTCGGCCTCGCTCTGCGCGGCGACAAAGCCGGGGGCGAGCGGCGACAGAGGTGGCAGCGGCGGCGGCGGCGGAGAGGACGGAGGGAAAGGGGCGAGGATGAACGTCTCGTTGCCGGAGGATCCGGAGTCGAGCGTGAACGTATAGCCCGCACCCTTCCACTCGTTGCCGGTCCAGCCGTTGCCGAACGAGTCGTTCATGTCGAGCGTGCACTCGCCGGGCGGCGCGGACAGGGTGCCGGAGTAGGGGGCCCCTCCACTGCCGATCAACGCGCCGCTGCACGTCAGGGTCCACGACACCTCGGACGGGTAGCTGCCGCCACCCACAGTGACCTGGAAGTCGCCCGAGCCAGACGTGCGGACCGATGGTGCACATGCCAGCGGGAGCAGCGCGGCGAGAATCAGCCACGCGCCGCGCCTCGACCCCGTCCGGCACCCTCGCACGAGGCGCCCTCCCGAGTTGGTCCGCCGCAGCAAGGCCGCACCGTAGCGCGGCGGCCACATCCACTGCCTCAGCAGCCCGCCGCACGCTCCGAGCAGCAAGAACAAGGCGGCCAAAAGCTGACCGCGCTGCCGGGCGCGGCCAGGCGCGGAAGAGGAGGTTCCGCCCGTGAAGGGAAAGTGGAACGGGGAGGGCAGCTCGATGGAGCGCTCGTCGGCCGGTGGGCCCGTGGGAGGCTTGTCGGTCTTGGAGCGCTCGTCGGTGAGCGCGTGGCGAGGCTCCACGTGCCACGCAGGGGCGGCGCAGCGTGGCTGCCAGTCGGCGCACACACTTGAGACCGAGATGATGTCTGACTCGACCGCGTTCGAGTCGGAACTCTGAGCGGCACGGACCTCTGCAGGCCACGCCGGCCCCTCAAGCGTGGCCGCGAGAAGAGGTTCGATGGCCTGGCAACGCTGGAGGAAGAGATCCTTGGTTGGGACTCGAGAAGCGTCCGTCAATCCGTCGTTCGCCCGCCACTCGCCACCGGCGAGCATGCTAGCGACGGGCGCGCCGAGGCCAGTCTCGACCGGCTTCCGCACCTCCAGCATCCCAGGCTTCCCAGCGTCGGCGGGCCGCAACTCGGGCGACGTGTCGTTCACGGGCAAGACGGTGTCGCGTCCCCGAGCGATGATCCCCGTCCTGTTGCTGTAGACGGGACCGACGAGGTCGATCTCAGGCTCGCCTTTGCGCTCCATGCTGTTGCGCGAGGCCGGGACGGTCTCCAAGTCGGCCTCGGCCTACTCGCAAACACACAGGCAATCGTTCCGTCAGCGGGTTACAAAGCTCGCACACACAAAGAGCCAGAGGGGCGCTCACCGGCTGCTTCTCGTCAATGTCCTCGCCCACCGCCTCGTCGATCTCGTCCATCAGTAGTGCTTCCCACAAGCGCCCCTCGTGGCGTCCGCCCTGAACGGCGCGCGGGCTGTTAGTCACGAGCTTGCGCGGCGCGGATACTAGCACGCGCGAGTGAGCACGCACCGGGTGGTTGGCGGGCGCGCTGTCCGACGATACGATGGCTACAAACGAGCTGGTGTCGATGCCGCCAACCTCGCAGAAGCCGTTGGGCGATGCCGGCGTGAACGGCTTTGCGACGGTCGCGAGAGGCGATGTCGGCCACGGGGAGTCGTACCGCTGCGAGGAGAGAAGCGCGGCGGTGGCAAAGTACGAGGAGTGCGCAAACGCGGCTCCGAGGCAGATCAGCGCGAGGATTGAAAATAGGCGGAGCAAGTTGTAGGACGGGCAGAGCTTGGGCCACGAGAACCGGCCGGAGGCAGAGACGGAGCTGTCCAGCGTGGGAACTGTGGTCGTCTCGACCATGCCCTGAACAGGAGGGCGCGAGACTGGCCGTGTGCGCGGCAAACGGGGGCGGAGGCCGCATATGTGCGCAGGCGGCGCGCACCGAGTCCGTGGTCGGCGGCGTGGAGCCGCGGGGCGGCCGCGCCTTGTGGGCCACCTTGCCGCCGCCACCGACGTCCTCGTTGCCGTTCATTCCGAGCAGGGCCCCGAACCGGTTCTTGCCGCCGACCCGGGAGACGTTCTCGACGCGGCCGACCCGGGCGGACGAGCCCTTGCGCGCCTTCTTGCGGCGCAGTTTCGACGGGTTGGTCCAGCCGGAGATGCCCTGCGCACGCGCAAGCGGTGGGTGCGTCAATAGTTGGCTCTGAGCGTGCACCGAAGCGTGCGAGGCGATCGGCGCGGTGGCGAGCTTCACCCCCGGAGACTCCTTGGCCGAGACGGTCCGGTCGGCGTCGCCCTACGCAATGAAAGAGGGGTGGGGTCAAGGGGTGCGTCGGCAGACGCACGGCGCAGAATGCGAGGTGCGCGCCGCCGGGAACTCCTTCATCGACGGCAGCGGCGCGTCGCCGGCCGCCGCCGGCTCGAGAGCCGGATCTTCTTTGGTGACGCCGCTGGGGGCCGTCGGTGGGTCGATTGGGGTGGTGCTCTTGGAGCAGTCGACCAGGTTGGGCTCGCCCTTGCAACCGGTCTTCCACTCGTCGATGCCCTGCGCATGTGCGAGAGGCAAAGGGCCGATATAGGAGAACCGCCCGTGGGACTCCCGCTACACCCGTGAGGTGTGTGCACGCGCTGAGAGAAACTCACCGCCGTGGCGAGCTTCTCCTCTGGAGACTCCTTGGCCTCACCCTCGCGCCCGTTGTTGCGGCGCGGGTTCGACGGGGTCGTCCAGTCGGCGAAAGCGCTCGGCTCGTGGGCGGCAGACACGGCCTTGGCGAACGCGGTCAGGTCCTTCTTGGGGACCTCCTTGAGGGAGGCCTCCGCGCCAGACTCTGCCACGGGGATGTCCTTCGCGAGGGCTGTTTGGAGGCTTGTGGAGGTCGCACGGATTATGTTGATCCGGGCGTGCGCACGCACCTCGTCTTCGAGGAGCACGAGAGCCATCGGCGCAGACTCGCCCTCGGACGCGACGGGCGTCCCGCCGCCGTCACCGATGACGTCCTTGAGCGACGCGGGCCCGCTCTCGGACGAGATGCCGTCGGCCTTGCCTCCGCCAGCGTCGATGACGGACGAGAGCGGCGACGGATCGGCGATGTCGAGCGAAGCGAGTGCCGACGACGCAAACACCACGCCGACGTCCTCAAGCGAAGCGGGCTGCTTGCTCTCGGACTGGAGCGAAACGGGCTCGCCCTTGGGCTGGATGCCGTCCTCGAGCGAAACGGGCTCGCCCTGGGACTGGATGCTGGCGGCCTTGGCTCCGACAGCGGTCGTGTTGCCCGCCAGCGACGCCTGTGACAGCCAGAGGGCGAGAGGATAAGTCTTGAAGGTCTCGTGGGAGCGCAGTTTCACTGCGCGCAAACACGCGCCTGCTTGTCGGCACGCGGCGGCGGCGGAGGTGGAGAGATCTTGATAGCGAGCCGATTACCGTCGGCCGGCACGAACTCGAGTTTGAGCTTGTCGAGCATAGGCGGTCGAATGAGTTCCTATGGAGGAAAGTAAGACGGGTCAGTGAGGAATGAGTCTATGGGATCACGGCCATGTGTGAACGAGGGTCAAAAAACACTGTGGAGATGATTGGGGGTATATTGGTGCATGGACATGGTACATGGACATGGGGTGTGTATGAGGCTGTGCACAAAAATGGTGCCGCTCAAGGGCATGCTGAATGGGAAGAGAGAGCGAGCCGGAGAGAGGAGAGCCGCGCCTACGGGCAACACGTCGCGGCGTGAGCGTCGAGACGAGGCCGCCGGCACGCTCTCTCGCGTCCTCGGCGCGCGGACTGGAGCAAGCGAGAGCGGGTCGCTCTCTTGTGCCAGAAGAGAGGGAGGTGCGGTCGCGCGGGACAAGGGTGGGGAATGGGCAGCAGCGGACGCGTCTCGCGACCTCCTCGATGGCAGCGGCTGTACCTGCGAGCGGGAGTAGGCAGGCGGTGCGAGGCCGAGGGGGGTCAGCCGCTCGCGCGGCGAGCGAGGGCGCATCGCGTGGTGGGGGTGGTGAGGAGGCGGCGGATTCCGTGAGCAATAGTCGCGGGGGTCTAGGCGTGCAGCTCGCGGCGGCATAGTCGGGCGCAATGCGGCGCGGCACGCGCGAGCGGACGAGGAGAGTGCCAGCTTGCCTTACGACTCGCTCTCCGCGTAGAGCGTTTTTGACGCACAAACGGATGATCTTCGAGTCACCGTTCACAGTTGTGGCTGTGAATTGACCCTTCGGGTCGGGTTGTTGCTGTACCTTGTGTCCCTTGGTAAGTCCGTCGGCGGAATGGGGGTACAGGAAAAGAACTATACAGGAAAAGAATTTTACAACCCAAGCCTCTCGCACTGGAAAAGAATTGGAAAACAACAGGCCGAGGGCCCAACTTGAGAATCGTGCTTTTTGTGAGGTTGTTTCGTGTTAGGTTGGGTTGAGGGGGTACACGTGCCGTGGCCGTCCTACGCCGCCCCGCTTCTTGTGGACGAGGTACGACGCTCCGTCAAGACCAACGAGGGTGCCCTCGACGGCGCGTGGCCTTTCGAGGCTGCCTTTTGGGCCGCGGGCTGGCTCATCCTCGTGGTAGCTGACTTCGGTGCCAAAGAGGTACGGCAGGCGGTCGGCGTCGAAGGAGGGATCAAGCCGTAGTAGCGCTGGTACCGCGACTCCTTCTGCCCCTCGACTGGGCGTCGGTTGACGACATATTGAGCGTAGACTCGAGCAGGGATGAGGTACGACGTCTTAAGCTCGGCGCGCTGGAGGGATGCCTCGGCGACGCGCGTGAGGACGTCGTTGTTCACCTCGGCGGTGCCGACTCCCTCGTGGTGTCCTGGTGGGGCGATCCGTACCGAGACTCCGCCTGGCGGAACGCGGCGACATGAGCGGAGTCGCCGTCGAGGCATGTTGATGAACTTGGCGATGTACGCGTTCGCCTCGCCGAGCTCCGTGTCGCCCTGCATCGCTGCGCCGATGGTGTACGTCGTGTGCCCGAGCGCCTCGCGTATCTTCGGATGCTTCCGCGACAAGTCGCGATGGAATCTGGAGAGCAGCGCGGGTAGCGCGTCGCGACGCAGCCAGCGACGTGCTTGAGGGCGGCAACCTCAGGCGTTGACGCGTCCTTGACCTTTGAGATGGGCTCGGGTGCGTTGGCTGGGGCGGTCGGCGCAGGGCCAGGGGGCATGGCTGGCAGTAACTCCCTGCGGCTGGCGGCGCTGCCATGTGGCATCCGGGTATCCACGCTGGCGCGGCCCAAGCGGCTAGCGGTACTGCATTAGGCAGGGTCCAGGCTGCTTGCGGGGCCAGCCCTGTTGGGCCCCCGCCGTTGGGCATCGCAAAGCTTGGGTAGCAGGGCGCGTGAGCAGCGCCTCCGCAGGCGTGGTACGCGTTGCCAGGCGGCAGGATGCCAGGCGGCAGGTACCCTGGGTACCCTGGTGGCATGCCCAGTCCAGGCAGGTGGGCCATCTGTGGCGTCGGGGGCTGAGCTCGTCCGATCTCGTCCGATCTCGTCCGATCTCGTCCGATCTCGTCCGATCTCGTCCGATCTCGGCTCCTCCTCGCTCCTCGCCACGCCCGGGAAGCCCGCCGCTTCTGCGCCCGCAAAGCAGCCGTGTCCTCGAACGGGACGAGTCTCGTGTTCTAGGGGGCGGGCAGGGTTTGCCCCCCCAAACTGGCCCGGAGAACCTTAATGTGATTTGAGTGTATTTCTGTAATGGCCCTGCTCCTGCCCGCCGCGTGGATCGCCTCGCCTCTCAGCGCTCCGAGCACGAAGGCGCCGCACCTTGCAATGAAGGCAGGTGGACCGTACTATGAGCAGGTGGACGGAATCAACCGCGACAAAAAGGCGCTTCGAATGACTCCGAATGACTCACTGTGTGTGCTAAGACAGAATCTCCGCAGACATCCAAAACGGGCCGTGCCGCGTTTGTGGTGTCTTCTCAAGCACTAGCATCCGGGCGCCGCACTCGAGTGGGCGGGTCACACCTATGTGGGCCCAGTGTGCGCACTCGGCGCATATGCTAGTGCTAACCTGCCCTATGGGAGGCAGAGGGATGTGTGTGTGTGTGTGTGTGTGTGTGTGTGTGTGTGTGTGTGTGTGTGTGTGTGTTGTGTGTGTGTTGTGTGTGTGTGTGTGTGTGTGAAGGAGCGCCAGTGCGGTCCCTTCACCAATATTCCTCCGAATGCGCCAAAAGGATCTCCGCTCGGAGCTTTTTTCTTCCTTCGCCAATGATTGCTCAATTAACGGCTATCACCGCCGCCTTTGCTGCCCTCAGTGCTCTCGCCGTCGCTGTCGCCGTCGCTGGTCGCCCTCTCCGCAATGGCGCTACTCTCGCCGTCGCTGTCCTCGCTGGCCGCTCTCTCCACCATGGCGCTACTGCCGCTCTCCGCCGCCGCTGCCGCTGCTGCTTCGGAAGCCCCGTCGCCGCCGCAGCTGCCGCCTCCTCCTCCAGCTCCTCCCTTGCTACCGCTTAAAATGCGTTTCGTGATCACGGGTTACTGTGACTCTCGAAGCGATCTCGACAAGCTGGAGTACGTTGCTGAAAGCCGCACCGCTTGGAATGATGACTCGCCGATCTACCGCGACACTTCGCTCGGTGCGTCGTACGTCGGATACGACACTGAAGAGCTCGCCTGGGTCGTGACAAAATGGTCTGATGCTTGGGCCGTGACGAAACGGTCTGATGTTTATGCGCGCTTCAACTCTGACGACGCCTCCTCGCCGCCGCTGGGCACGGCCGCTTGGGAGGTTGACTGTGGTGGCCTGTCTTACACGGAACACAACCTGACGCTGGCACCCTCTCAGCCACCTCCTCCGCCAACTCCGCCGCTGCCACCAGAGGTCAAGGCGGTGCTGTCCATGTGCGTTGTGGCAACTCGTCGCTACCTCCCCGATGCCGACTCGCTCCTACAGCAGTTGATTGGTCCGTGGTGGTCCCTCTATGGCTTTGTCCGTCCCCAACTGTCGGTAGCATCTGCCGATGGTTGCGATTTGCCTAACTTTGATAGCATTAATCAGAGCAAAAGAATCTGCTCCAAGCCCGACTCATTGACCGAGCCATGCGAATCCGGCGCCTTGCTACGAATTCTCCCAAAGACGTCTAAGGCTACATCTCAAGTTGTAGTCGGAACGAGCGGCAGCAGTAGTCTTGTCGGCAGCGAAGGTGAAGCGGGACGGACCGCAGCATATTCTGTCACGGTCCTCGACTTTGTCGATCTTGCAAAAGGCTCTCAGTCTTGGCTCAGTCGCTTCTGTGGCAACTTTATGTCCGTGGTGTGCTCAAACGCGACTGCTGCGGATGATCAGATCCAGTGTGGAAATTTTGCGCGAGCCATTTGCTACCCGTCAGAAGGACTAGCCGGGGGGTACCTCGACATCTCTGTATTCAATGCAGCCAGCGAAGAGAGGCAAGAGACGAGCATGGCGGCGCTGCGAGTGCTGGATCCCGAGTGGAGCGTGGATTCACCTCCGTGGAGCAGCATCGACGTCATCTGGATGCTTCTCTGGCTGCTGCCGGTCTTTGTGCCTGCACTCCTTTTGCCCGCCGGTGCCGTTGCGAGGAGCAGGGCTTTTAGACGGGCAAAGCCACTGCTAGAGTTGGAGGGCGCCTTGAGCGAGATTGAGGTGGAGCAAAAGCAGAGCCGATTTGACGAGCCGGCGGTTCGCAAGGCCGTTCGCCAGGCAAGATGGCTCGCTTTCACGCTTCTGCTTCTGGCCCTTGCTCTCGTCCCTTGGCTCACTGCCGTTGCTGCCCTTGCCGCCGTGCTGCCGCTTGCTCGCAAGACGAGCTGCGAGGTCTGGATCACCTCGAGAGCCTCGCGGCGGTACTGGCTATCTGTCGCGAGTGTGAGCGGCTTGATCTACGGCGCATGGCTCATCGCGAGCTGGAGCCTGATTGGTACAGGCGAGTACGAATACCTGTGGAGGATAGGATCGCTCTCCGAGGATAGGGTCTTCGTCAGCACATGCCGCCAGCTCCTGCACAGTTCCCCAGATGACACAGTCGACTCCACCGGCGGCTACTTCTTGTACGAGTACCGTGGCAAAGTCTGCAGCGTCCTCGCCCACATGCTTACGCCGCGAAACATACCGTTCATCGCATGGACGCTGCTTGCGCAGGGGTGCGTCAGCCTGCTCGTCGCTGGCCTCTCCCTCTTGCTACTGCTCAAGTCTGCAGGGCCAAAGGCCATCCCTGGTGGCCGCCGCCTTGCGTCGTCCGGGTGGTGCGGCGCGGCGAACGTGGACGGCCTGCTCACGCTTGCCACAGAGCGAACTGCCGACCGCTTCGCCGGCTCCGCCAAGGAGCTCGTTACCGGACAACCCGAGGCGGGCTACGTCTCGGGCCGCTCGCTACATGTTTTGAGCTCTTATCTTATCGCACACTCACACACGATGGAATAGGAGGCAGCTACGGGGCTTTACGGGATCATCGGCTACTCGGAGCACTTCCTACACGATCGGATGCGAGAGGGCACCGCCGCGATCGTCCAGGAGGCCGAGGCGCTCGGGGACCCGGTGGTGCTCGAGAACCTGCGCTACATCCTCCACGCGCCGGCCGGGTCGAGCGACCTCTCTTTCCAGCACGGATGGCTACGCGACCGCGCCCCGGATGGTTCCCCCCTCGAACATCGCGATAGATACGAGTTGAAATACTCAGATCTTTCCACCTTGGGCCAGTTTCTCACAATGTACTCCGAAATGCCCTCAAGGGCTAAGTTCTCGAGCGCTTGGCATGCAAAACCTGGCAGCTCGCTCCTTTGGGAGACGAGCGTGGCTTTCGTTGCAACTCGCAGCAGATATGGCGCATCCAACTTGACAAACTCGCTAAGCTCAATCTCGCTGATATCGTCTCCATCGTGCAGCTGCTTGGCCGCGCGAGTGACAGGTCCTTTGCCGTTGCCGGCTTGCAGGATCGCATGCAGTGAGTCTGACTCGACAGCGCGGGTATACTCGGGCTGAAGCGAAGCCTGAAGCGTGCGCAGGTCCCTGTTGTCGGGGTTCTTCTGCAGCCCAAGCAAGCAGCTTTCCGTCGCCTTTACTGGCATGCCCATGGCCTGCTGCGCTCTCGCCAATCGCCACCATCCCTTGACGAACTGCCTGCCGGAAGGAAGGGACACGCACTTTCGAGCGTCTGCCGCGGATGATGGCCAGTCCTCAAGCCGAGCCCAAGCCATGCTACGGTTGCACCATAGTACATGATCTGACGGCGTGCTTTCCAGAGCTGCCGTGTAATAAGTTATGGCTTCGTCAAACTCCCCGGCCGCGAACGCTGCGTTGCCCTTCTCCTTGTCAGGCATATCTGATCGTACCTTTGTCGCGTTGGGTTGGGTGGCGTTGGCTGTAGGTGGTGCACACGATGCTGTGCTTTCAGTCGTTTCGCTGTCCTTTTTGGTTGCGGCACATGAGGCGCAGCGCCGCTCTTTGCCCTTCTTCAGCTGACTGCTAGAATAAGTCGACTTCGGAAGCTCGCTCAGGCAGCCTGCGCACAATGGCATGTCCACAGCCACACAGCACCGCAGACGCAAGCCGCCGGCAGGCGCGAGGTGCGTTGGGTAAGTTGGTATTATAAAATGAACTCGGGGGCACGGGACGCGGCACAAACGGGAGCGGCACCATCTCAACTCGGCTGGACCCACAAACGGCATCGCGGCACGCGACTTTGATCACGCGCGAGACGGAGTTGGGGAGCGGTGCTGCCAGCCCCTCTCACCTTGGTGTGTGTGTGTGTAGGTATATGTTGTTGGCGAAGCAAGACACATAGCTCACACAAAATCACAGGGGTCGTGTGTGTGTGTGTACACCTCTCACCTTGGCACCGCCGCGATGGTCCCTCTCCTGTTGTTTACCGTGAGTTGGCATGACGCATGTGCATGGTCCATGGAGACGGGCATCGGCATGACGCATGCAGCAGAGATGCACGTGCAAGCTCACATTCACAGCTGCTATACCTACAGAGAAACGCACCTTTAGCTCGGCGGAATGGGTTTCTTGCCCCACGAGAGGTCCGCACGGGTCGGGCCCCAGCACATGAGTACAGCTGTGAATGTGAATACATGGCGGAGCAACTCGCACCGAACGTCGCGGCGCTGTCGCTCGACGAGGCGCCCGCAATTGCAAGACTCTCCGCTGACGCATTGGACAGCATCGCCTCATTCAACTGCACGGTCGACCCCACCGCGAGCGCTTTCCAGTACGAAGCGAGCGTCAGGGAGTCGTATTATTCACTCCCTCGGGCCGAGCAAGACAAGCTCTCGAAGAAGCGAAACCAACTCCTCAAGGCCGCGCGCGCCGTGGCTGCCCGCGATGCTCTCGCCATGATGGGTACGTGCTCTGCTTGGCAGCTGCTGCTGCGCACGTCAGAGAGCGTCTGGGGGGCGCTTCTCGTCGCCCGGTTCCCAGAACTCAAGTGTGGCTCCCTGAAACTGGGTGCCCACGACACGTACCGCTGCATGCTGAATGTCGTCTCGTTGCGTTCTTCGCCGATTTGCCTCCAGCCTTCGCCAAACGCCGGCACGCAGCTCGAAGACTTCACGTTCACCTTTGAGGGCACCTTGGTCCCTGCACCGATTACTCTTCACAGTCCGGTCGTGATACACGGGCTATCTGCGTCGCCGCAGTACAGTGCGCAATATCGCTCTTGAGCCCCGCGTGCACGCGCTCTAATGCTGACCATCACCCTCGCCTCTGCGCGCCGCAGACGGGCAGAAGGGTCGCGTCATCGAGCAGCGAGGCGAGCGCTGGGGTGTCCGTCTTGACGGAGGCGGAAGCCTTGCGGTACGCGCGTCCTGCCTGAGGCTGCAGCGGTTTGACGACCTCGGCTTCGACTTTGACGGCGAGCCTAAAGAGGGCTGCGAGCCCACGCCGTTTGGAGCCCGACAGTCGTGGATGGGCATCATGACTGCCGAGGAGCTGGAGGGCAAGGCCGACGCTATTGACAGTATTGGGCGAGACGTGTACTTTGGAAGCGCTTACGATCACGATTACTCCGATGCGCAGACGCTGCTGAGCGTATACGTCACGACGCCAACGATGCAGACTGTGAAGATCTACGAGACGGCAGAGATCTACGGTACTTGCCGTCCCCCCGGCGGTGAGCGCGGCATGCAGATGCTCCTTTTCGACAAGAAGACGCTGCCTTACGCTGCCGGCCAAGAGGCAGGCAGCTGCCCAGCAGGCAGGGAGGAGCTTCTCATCCTCGCGACGCTCGACTTCAGCATAGCACTCGTGATCACTACCGATTGGTCGGGCGAGGAGATGCCCGCGAGCGTTTTCCTGAAATACCTGCAGGGCGACGATGGCCGCTGGTGGGGAGACTTTGAATAGTTCAGCCGGGCGGCTGTCGCCTTGTGTGCGCCTTTTACCCGGCGGCTCTTGAAACCCAAAAGTGTAAAACTCGTTTAGCGCTGATCTGACCAGCTCAATCACCACAATCAGCGTCGACGATGCCACCAAGATGCCACGGCCGCCGCGCCCACCGCGGCCGCCAGCGCCTCGGCCGGCGGCGGCACGGCCGGGCCCGCCGCGACCGCCGCGGCCACCTCGGCCGCCGCTGGCAGTGGGCTCGTCCGCTGGAAGTTGAACGTGCTGCCGCCGCCCTTGCGCCTCGCGCCACTCGATAATCATGGCGTGGTTCGGCACGACCATGGCGTGCTCGAGCGCCTCACCCGTCTTGGGGCTAGCCTGATCGTCTTCATTTCTAGGTGGCCATTATCTCTCATAAAGTGAGTCATCATCACTCTCCGCCCGTCTTGGGGCTCGCCATCTTCTTGTCGAGCCAGCACTCGATGGCGCGGCGCTCGTACGTGTGGCCGTCCGCGATGAAGACCGGGTCCTCCACATCAGCTCCTGGGGGTTCAATGGCAAGCGCCAAGGGCATGCGTCAATGGCGTACGTCAATCGCGAGCGTCAATGGCTGAGCGTGGTCGATCGAGGAAGCGCCGAGCGAGGGTCTCTCCCAGGGTCTCTCTGCTCGAATGCACATGCACATGCACGCTGTCTGCTCGGATGCACGCCTGCGTGATGGGGCAGAGGAAGTCATCCGGCGGCTCCGCATCCGTATGAAGCCGTACGTACGTACACAACACTGGGCACGGGACTGGCGCGCACTGGCACTAACACAGGAAAGAAGAAACCCGTCGGTTTTTCGCTGTGGTCCGCTTCTCGCACGCTGCTCGCATGCCGATGCCTGGCGCCCACCCCACGAACGAGGATCTGAACGGCTTCAAGCGTGGCGAGCACGTCGAGGGGCCGCACATCTGCGAGCAGTACGTCTTCCAGGCGCCCGGCCAGACGTCCGGTGTCTGGGGCTGGAACGACACGCAGGCGCTGTACTGTGCTGCGTGCGGCAGGCTCGCCTCCGACCACGTCGTGCTCGCCAAGCCGACCTTCGAGGAGATCAAGAAGAAGCCGCCACCCTCGCTCCCGTCGGGCTATGTACAGCGCCGCCTCGGCCACCGCCTCGGCCACCGCCTCGGCCACCGCCTCGGGAGGAGAGAGGGCGCACTCACGCCGCGATGCGGTGCGCGCCCAGGTGCTCGACTCGTCGCAGCTCCTCTCCACTCGCGCGTACCAGGCCGAGCGCGCCGCCTCGGCCAAGACCGCACTCGACATGCTAGACGAGACCGTCGACCCGCTCGCCGTCGCTGCGCAGATTCGACCCTCGCAGCGCAGGCGCGGGGACGCCTCCGAGACACCTCCGAGACACTTCCCAGCAGAGAGGATAGAGAGAGAGGCCCCCGAGACACGTCCGAGACGCCCCCTCGCGCTCGCTCCGGCACGTGCCTCAATCCTTCGCAGCCTGCTCCCCCTCACCGCCCGCTCACCGCCCGCTCTCTCCTCACTGCCTCTGCCCGTCTCCTCGCTTCCGCCAGCCGCGCCGCCGCTGCAGCGCCGGGGTGCGCGCCCGGGTGCGGCCCGACACCGGCAGCGTCGGTGGAGGAGGAGGCGCTGGCGAGCGCGCTGGCGGGCAGCCTCGGAGTGTCGCACGCGAAGCAGGCCTCCTTCGCCAGCCACGGGACTGACCCCGCACCGGATTCGGCACTCTGGAGGTATGGCACGTAGGACTCCTTCCCGGCCGGCGGCGGCGCCAAGCCGGACGAGGGGGTCGGGAAAGCGGCGGCTGCTTGCTCGGGGTGAGAGGCGCGGAGTGGACCGCCGCGAGGAGCCGAGAGTAGGTTGCTGCTCGCGAGACGGCAGCATGGTAGGCCTGGTACTGACCGGTGACATGTCCCATCTCGAGAGTAGGTTGCTGCGCTGCTCGCCCGCGAGACGGCGTACAACGACTCCTTCAAGGACGAGGTGGAGAGGATGGTGCGAGAGTCTATCGCCGCGGAGCGACGCAAGGAGCCGGAGTCTGATGCGGAACCTTCTTTCGCCACCCCATACCTGCCCACATCCCCCCACATCTCCCCACACCTCTCCACATCTCCCTACACCTCCCCACACCTCCCCACACCTCTCCACATCTCCCCACACCTCCCCACACCTCCCCATACCTCCTCACACCTCCCCACACCTCCCCACATCCCCCCACATCTCCCCACATCTCCCCACACCTCTCCACACCTCCCCACACCTCTCCACATCTCCCCACATCTCCCCACATCTCCCCACATCTCCCCACGTCTCCCCACACCTCTCCACACCTCCTCACACCTCCCCACATCTCCCCTCATCTCCCCATATCTCCCCACATCTCCCCACATCTCCCCACATCTCCCCACACCTCTCCACATCTCCCCACATCTCCCCACGTCTCCCCACATCTCCCCACGTCTCGCCACATCTCCAATAGGAGCTCGAGCTCGAGCTTGACGCGCGGATGCCGCCCCAGCAGCAGACCGCCGCGCCGCCCGCCGGCGCGCCGCGCCACGCGTCGGTGGCGTCGCTGCTCGAGGTCCGAGAGAGGACCACGAGAGCTTACGCCGAGAGTCGAAGCCGAGAGGTTACGCCGAGGAGAGGTTACGCCGAGGAGAGATTACGCCGAGAGGAGGCCACGCGTGGGCGGTGTTGCTCCTCGAGGCGGCGCCGCAGTCGACAGTGCGTACTGTGGCCGCGAGGGCGCCGAGAGGATCTCGAGAGGATGACGAGATGTAGTGGAGAGTTAGCCGAGAGGGCGCCGGAGAGGGCGCCGAGATGAGGACGCGAGTTGAAGCCGAGATGACGCCGAGATGGCGCCGAATAGGCGGCGGCGCTGCCGCAGTACCTGGCGAGCTTCGAGGAGGAGGCGATGGACGCAGAGACGCTGACGTCGGGGTGATCTCGGGGCGATCTCGGGTGATCTCGGGTGATCTCGGGCCACTAGGCGATGGACGCAGAGACGCTGTATGGTGTGATGGAGTCGCAGGGCCGCACCGCGCTCGAGGAGGCGCGGCAGACAGCCAGAGAGAGAGAGTTGCCCTGAGAATGTGTCCGAGACTCGTTTGGGCAGGGATTGCCTGACTCTGCCCGGGCACTGCCAGAGGCTGCCTACAAAGGAGAGAATGTCCGAGAGACTGCCCGGGCACTGCCTATGTCTGCCGCTCGTCCGCCACCGCCCGTGCCGGCTGCCCTCTCCGTTTCGTGCCTCCCTAGCCGCACCTCCCCGCGCCCCGCTTCGCTGCAGTTCGTGCCCCCCTAGCCCCACCTCCCCGCGCCCCGCTGCGCGGCAGGTGCTGCTTGAGCTCGGCGTGCGATCCAAGGGGCACCGGATGAAGATCGCAAACTTGGTCGCGCCGTGAGGCAGCCTCCACCCCTCCTCCCCGCCGAGGGCGCATCTCTGCTGCCTCTGGGCCGCGCTGGCTGCCTCTCTAGGTCTCTTTTTGGAGGGGGCGCCCTCACATGCGCGGCCAGATCGGATCAGACTCACGTTAGTGCGCGCGCGCGTGGCCGTGTGCTCCTCCGCCGTCCTCAACCTCAATGCTCTGAGATTTTGTGTGTATTATATGGTTTTGCGAATGGTTTATATGCTGCGTGCGGTGAGCTGATCACTGATCAATGATCTATGTGTCCTGTGATCGTGCGGGGTCACTCACTCCTCTCGCCCGTTCTCCCATCGTGCATCGAGCCGCAATGCTGACGAGGACGGCTAAGGTCCAAGCAGTAGCACCAAGGGAGTGCACTGGTGTGGCTGCGGCAACCCGCCCGTTCCCCCAACCCATCGCGTTTGGTTCATGGTTGCTTCCCCCAGGATTAGTCTTCTCTGCCTGCGCGTGCGGGAACACCCTCGGGCCTCGGGCGGCCGGGTGCGGGCGGCTGGAGCTAGCATGGCTCGATAGAGCCGAGACCCCGTGTTGAGGCGTCGCTCCTTTGGGCGGCTGTTGAATCAGCAGATTCGACCTCATCTTTCCATTACTCTCATGTCCCAGTGGATGGACGTCCCCCGTACCGTACGTCCTTTGTAAGAAAGATTCCCAGGGGCAATCATGAAGATCTGCTTTTCTTCTTCTCGAGCTTGTTGAACCTTTTCTTCTTGACGCATCGCCCCCATGTGTCCAGAATCAAGATTTGCTCCGGGCCACGCCAGAATTCTTTTTTGGAAATCGGAGCAAAGCGCGACAAAGCCGTGAGGCGCCTCTCTAGCGGCGCGGGCGGCGGGGGGCACGGTCGCGCGGCTCAGGGTGGGAGAAGGGATGGACGAGGGAGACCGAAGAACCTCTCGATGGTCGATCTTCGGGAAGCTTATTACATTGGGCAGGGAGTTCGCGCGCCCGATCGCAAAAGAGGCCTGCTCTCGCGCGCCCGTCGGCGGTAGCGGCGGATATCGCACGCAGCAGGGCGCGGATGTAAAGTAAACTACGAACACAGCTACTCTACAAGCCTAATCAAAACACAGATCAACAGCACACACAGCGCCCTTCACATACCAGCGCGACGTGACAATAGATAGTCAATACGGTAGTCATACCGCAAATGTACAGCGCTCTGATTTGAGCGTCAACGTCACGCTGGTCGCTGCCGGGCACTCCGCCCGCCCACGGCTCGCCTATCGGTCGGCTCGGGGCCAAGATCGATCCCGTGCACACGACCAAGTTGTACACTCGGCCCAATGCGCGATGGAGACAGCTGTCTCATATCGCGCTCCGTTCTGCCGAAGAAAGTCACGCGGCCTCAGAAGCCTCAGTCACGCGGGCCTCAGCCTTGGCGTCGACCTTTGGGTCTGGCGCGGTCTTGCAGTACGACATGACGGACGCCTTGATGCCCCAAATGCCGGTCCCGATCTCGCCGCTGGTTGGCGAGTACGTCGGGACAGCGCCGCCTGCAGCCGGCAGGCGTGGGTGTGGGGCTGTGGGCGCAAAGGTGGACATTGAGCGGGGCCGCGGTTCTGGCGAACCAAAGCCAGGGATGTAGGAGATCGCAATCGAGATGGCTGGGGCGACAGAGAGCGCGAAGAAGATGCCCAGACCCGCCGGCATTCCATAGGCGGTGGGCAGGAAGCCAAGGAGGAGCGCGCTGAGGCCGCAGAACATCGAGTACCTGCAGCCCGTGTGTGGCTAGCATGAGAACGACTGTCACTTGTTGCGGGGCAGGGCGCAAGAAGGGGCGCGCACGGGATCTGGGTCTTGAAGTGGTCGAAGACGCTGCACTGGCAAGCCGCCGCGGCGAGGCAGGTGGTGTCCGACACGATGGAGGAGTGGTCGCCCCACACCGAGCCGCCCAGCACGGCGGCGGCGGTGGTATAGAGGATGTTGAGACCTTCGTCAGAGCCGTCTTCGATGCCCTCGTCGCGGGACAGGTTGATGGCCAGCGGGATCGAGATCGGGAACATGACGGCCATGGTACCCCTGCGAGGCAACGCAGGCGCTGAGGGTGGAGAGCGCGCGGGCAGTCCCCCGCACACGCGCCAAGCACGCGCCAGGACGTGCCAGTGCCGAGCGAGCAGAGCCAGGCGAGCACAAAAGTGATAGCCGGAACGATGGCGGGATCCGTGCCCTTGAGGGCGCATCCGAGGTAGTCGGGCATTCCGAGCTCCTCTGAGAGTTTGGCGATGGACTTTGCGAAGAT